AGAGGTATAAAATCCAGCCATAGCTTTCTGAAAGTGAGGTCTGATGGCCTCAGTGGCCTGTTTCACTTGGATGTCTAGGGGTGCAGTTGGGTCACTATCGTTTGTAAAGTAGAACTACAGGGGCTTAGCCAGTGGGCACTCTTCACAACTGAAGGGAGAGTCTTTCTTTAAAGGAAAAGATGATTTCCACTTCCATAGGTGCTGAGGGATCTATTTGGAAGGATGCTGTTTCCCCCAGACTCCTTAATTCCTTTTCCAGTAGGATCTATTGCTCTTGGGGGAGCCGGTCTGACAGACTTAAAGGAGCCAGATCCTTAGATGAATCATTAGGAGATGCTGTTTCCTAGAATAATTACTACTTTGTTGTCTGGTATTTGGACATTTCTATGCCTCTTTAGTGCTATACTGCCTAAGGAGCATCCTTCCCTGGGAACTCTAGTTTTGTGGGATGCTAATGAAAAAGAGGTTCTGTGGCCAAATTCTTTAGGGAAATGGTGGGTCAAGGAAAGCTGATGAGGTTTTCCAATTATAAGACTTTGTACACAGATCCTTTAATATGCTGAGAGGCAGTAAGATTTCCCATGTGAGGAATAGAGTATGCAGTAATCTCTAAACTTATGAGAAAAGCAAATCTATTTTCCTCCCTAGAATGTCTCCCTTAGACACCTGGGAAAATGTAGGGATTTGCAAAGTAGGAGTCTTCCGGTAGTGGTTCCCCAACCTTGCTGCACGTTGTAATTACCTAGGAATTAGAAAAAAGCACTGGTGTCTGGCTGCTACTCTCAGACATTCTGATTTGATTGTTAAGGGATATAAGCTGGGCCTTGGGATTTTAAGTTTCCCAGGTGATTCTAATGTGTGATGAAGTTTGAGACTCCTTGCCCTCGTGTCTTCCTGTTTGGTGCCATCTTCTGAATAAACTCAGTCCACAGAGCACTGGCTTTGTTCAAGTCATTGTTTTATCATCCAGAAGCTTCATAGTCCTCTCTGTATCTTGAATTTTTTTAATTTATAGGCAAACATCAAACTCATCCTGCCTCAGCTCCCTTGTGAGGAAGGAAGGAATTTGTGGAACTGGGAGGAAAAGCATGCTCTCCAACAACCTATCTTTATTATTCCACTTTAGTTTGTGGTCAAGCGGGGCTAGAGCTCCTGAGAATGCTTCCCAAGGCATTGTCCCTACAATTTTTGGAGATTAACCATATCAGAAGGACCTGGGATACCTGTTAACTATGTAGACGTCTGCTCTCACAGCAGACATACTGCATCTGAATCCATGGAGTTGGAGCACTCATATTCACAGTTTATTTTTTTATTTTTATTTATTTTTTTTGAAGGACAGTAGGTATACTTAATTTTTTTAAAACTGTGTATTAAATCAGGCTTGGCGCCTGTGGTGCAGTGGTTATGGCACCAGCCACATACACTGAGGCTGGCAGGTTCGAACCCGGCCTAGGCCAGCTAAACAACAATGAGAACTGCAACAAAAAAATAGCCGGGCATTGTGGTGGGTGCCTGTAATCCTGGCAACTTGGGAGGCTGAGGCAGGGGAATTGCTTAAGCCCAAGAGTTTGAGGTTGCTGTGAGCTGTAACACCATGACAGTCTACTGAGGGTGACATAGTGAAACTCTGTCTCAAAAAAAAAGAATTCTTTATTAAATGTTAACTGTGTACATCAATGCATTTATGAGGTGCAATGTGCTGATTTGATATAAAATGTGGAATGCTTCCATCTTACTGATTAACATAACCATCTCCTCGCTTACTTATTTGTTGTGGTAAGACATTCATACTCAATTCTTAATAGTTTAGAAATGCATCATTGCATTATGCACATTAGGTTAGGTTCCCCCCAAATACGCTCCCTCCTCCCAGCCTCCCTTGTCCCTTTTGTCTCCTCCCTCTCCCTCTTCCCTCCTTCTTTCTGGACTATAGTTATGTTTTACCATTCCTATGAATGTGTAGGTGAATATATACTGATTTCATAGTAGTATTGAATACATTGGAGACTTTTTTTCCATTCTTGAGATACTTTACTAAGAAGAATATTCTCCAGTTCCATCCAGGTAAACATAAAAGACATGAAATCTCCATCTTTTTTATGGCTGCATATTCCAAAGTGTACATATACCACAATTTGTTGATCCATTCATGGGTTGATGGGCACTTGGGCTGCTTCCATGACTTGGCAATTATGAATTGGGCTGCAATACCCCATGTCAAGTAGGTTTTATCCCAGGGTTACAAGATTGGGTCAATGTACATAAATCCATAAATATACAAAGACCACACGATTCTCCCAATTGATGCAGAAAAAGCTTTTGATAATATCCAGCACCTTTTTTTGATCAGAAAACTCAAGAAAATAGGCTTAGAAGGGTCATTTCTGAAACTGATAGAAGCCATATATGGCAAATCCACAGCCAATATCATACTGAATGGAGTAAAATCAAAAACATTTCCACTCACATATGGAACTAGGTAAGGATGCCCATTGTCTCCACTGCTATTCAGCATAGTAATGGAAGTTCTAGCCATCACAATCAGGCAAGAGAAGGGGATCAAAGTATTCAAATGGGGTCAGAGGAGATCAAACTCTCACTCTTTGCAGATGATATGATCCTATACCTGGAAAATCCCAGGGACTCATCTATGAAACTCTTAGAAGTGATCAAGGAATACAGCAGTATCTCAGGATACAAGATCAATACTTACAAATCAGTAGCTTTTGTATATGCCAACAACAGTCAAACTGAAAATATAATCAAGGACTCTATTCCTTTTACAGTAGTGCCAAGGAAGATGAAATATCTGGGAATTTATCTAACAAAGGACATAAAAGATCTGTATAAAAGAGAATCATATTCACATTTTAAACAAATTCCCTGGGTCATTCTATGTACACTGGAGTTTGAGAACCAGTGCTCTGGTGCAGGGGTTGGTCATCATCAAGAATTTTCTTGGTTTGCCTGATGGAAGTGTGTTCACACTTCCTACACGTAGCCTACACCTGCCTACACCTACACTAACATCTTTTTTTTTGACTTTCCACCTGCACCATTCTCTGTTTCTGCCAAATGGTGAAATTTCAAAATTACCAATCACAGCATGTCTTGGCTATGGGGAGCAAAAGCTTGTGCTTATAAAACAGCCCTTTTTTTTGGGGATCAGGTCATAGCTGGATAGGGTGGCACTGGGTATGACCCCGACAGAATTCCCCGCTGAGATATAGGCAAACTTCTAAGCAATACATTCCTTCTGGTATGAGGAAAGCAGAAGGCAAGGCTAGAAACCAGGTCCATTGGAGCCTGCTGAGGGATGGTAGGATGTGCGGTGGGGCTTTGGATGTTTGAAATTAAAGAAAAAACTTCAAAGATATTAGATTCTTTGTTAGGAAATTGCATAGAGATAAATCACCTCCCCTTGGGGAGTCACCACAGAAACCAATTAGGGCATGATGCTAGGGCGGTGACTATAAGAAGCACTACCAGCAAAGCCTAGTGTTAAATTGGGAGCTCTGGGAAAGAGAGAGAGGCTGGTCCCCTATTATCTGGGGCTGAGCCTGAAAAAAAAAAAACCCAGGAAGCCTTAGTGTCAGGGATGTATGGCTTTGTCAAGTGAGGGAGGAAAGGGACTACTTACTAAAAGTGAAAATAAGACAGAGAGGTACTAGACACAACCCCATACCAACCAGGTTGCTATGGTTATGGATGCACGCTGCATTGCTGTTGATTGAAAAGGAACAAAGACAAGGTAATTAAAGCCTGGAGAGGAAAAATGACTTCCCCAGGTCCATACATATAGTATGCATGAATTAGAACTGAGGTGTCCTCAGGATTGGCAGGTCACAGGCAGAGAAAACATTAACAAAAAAGGAGGGCACTAACAAAGTGGAATTCAGGTTAGGATGGTTCATGCCCAGCTCGTGACTTCCAGAGATCTCATTTCTTTTCTCTGTTATTATCTCTGACAGATCAGCTCAGCACTGGCTTAGCTGCTGGTACATCAGGTACTCTGGTGCTATCAAAGCCCTTCTTTATAGCCTCATTCTAGGACTCTACTGAAGAATCCCAGATCCATTAACCCAGATTCCTCCAACAGTGCTCAGACAACATTAGACTGTAGAAATATTTCTGCTTCCTTCTGTTTTCAAATTTGGATGCTGTTATTATTATTTTTTTAAGTCAAATGACTGCATTTACATGTATCAGGGACTTTGAGAACAGCCAAACAATGCTTTGAGAGCTTGGTCAGGTGCCTGAAGGAGCTTATGATTATTGCTCTTTCAATTCCAATGTTAATTCCAGTGTGTGTGCATGCGTGTGTGTCTGTTTGTGTGTATGTGTGTGCACACCCTTTATAAGACAGCCAACTCTAATTAGGATCACAGCTGTTTGTTAAACATGTGTGCTGTTAAACTGAGAATTGAAAGATTCTTGTGAGCAGAACCCGTTGCTCATTGCTAATGGATTCTTTCAGATTCATACTCTTTTGTTGATGGAATATAAATTTTCCTTCTTTAAAACTTTCATTTAAGAATTTAAATAGCCACCTTCTGTGTGTGGAGTGCTTTTAGAGTTCCAATGTGCTTTTTCATATGTTTTGATCCATGCATTAACCTTATCTCACAAGCAGGGCAGATATGACAGTTCCTTTTTGGGAGAGGAAATTGAGGTTCAGAGAGGTTAAGTGCCTCCGTGTAGGATCAAACAGCTAATTGGGGACAGAGTTGCAAATAGAAGAGCTGACCTGTAAGCCAGAGAACTACTTGCTGTCTGTTCTTTTTGTAATAGAAGCATTGACCACTTTTTATCTTATATGGCAATGAGCTCTGTAGGGGATATTTATATCCACCCGAGGCTGCAACGTTTGTTGAAGTCAAGCCCCTACCTCACAGACACTCAGGGCAAAGCGTCTTTAACTTGAAATCACCTGAACGTCTCTTGAGGGGTCGGTCATATGCCTGTTGTCTTAACCGTCGCAGGTAGCTGCCGAATGGATGGCTGTGAGGAATTACACCACGGTGACCGAGTTCTTCCTCATCGCGTTCACAGAGCGCCCTGAGTGGGAGCTTCCTCTCTTCCTGCCGTTTCTGGGTTTCTACCTTGCCACCCTGTTGGGGAACGCGGGGATGATCCTCCTGATCCGCAGGGACCGCCGGCTCCACACCCCCATGTACTTCTTCCTCAGCCACCTGTCGCTCACGGATATCTGCTACTCCTCGGTCATCGTCCCCCAGCTGCTGGCCGTGCTGTGGGAACACGGCGTGGCCGTCTCCTGGGCTCGCTGCGCCGCTCAGTTCTTCCTCTTCACCTTCTTTGCTTCCATCGACTGCTACCTCTTGGCGATCATGGCCTACGACCGCTATGTGGCTGTGTGCAGACCTCTGCTCTATGTCACCATCGTGTCGGAGAAGGCCGGCTCCGGTCTAGTGGCCGGGGCTTACACGGCTGGTTTCTCCAGCGCCTTCATTCGAACCGTCACCGCCTTCACTCTCTCCTTTTGTGGAAACAATGAGATCAACTTCATCTTCTGCGACCTGCCTCCTCTGCTGAAACTCACGTGTGGGGACAGCTTCACCCAGGAGGTGGTGATCATCGTGTTCGCGGTTTTTGTCATGCCTGCTTGCATCTTGGTGATCCTGGTGTCCTACGAGTTCATCATCGTGGCCATTCTGCGCATCCGCTCCGCTGGAGGCCGGGCCAAGACCTTCTCCACCTGCGCCTCCCACCTCACGGCTGTGGCTCTCTTCTTTGGCACCCTCATCTTCATGTACCTGCGGGATAACGCGGGCCAGTCCTCGGAGGGAGACCGAGTGGTGTCTGTGCTTACACAGTGGTGACCCCAATGCTGAACCCCCTCATTTACAGCCTGAGGAATAAGGAGGTGAAGGAGGCTGTCGTGAAATCCCTGAGCTGGCCAAGGGCTTCTGGGAGGCCTTAGATGAATCCTTATAAAATAAGTCATTCTTTACTTTCTCTATCCGTTCCATCTTTCCTCAAATACCACCTTCTTGGGGAGGGTTTCCTGGACAACTTCACTTAAAATGCACCAGAATTCCCCACCCCCACTTTCTGATTTATTATTCTATGTAATGATTATCACCTGACAAACTAGATGTTTCTTTTCTTTTTTTATTAAGTCATAAACACATAGATCATGTATATATTAATGCATTTATGGGGTACAATGTGCTGATTTAAAATAGAATTTGGAATGCTTACATCAAACTACTTCATATAGCCTTCACCTTATTTACTTAATTATTGTGTTAAGACATTTATACTCTATGCTTAATAGATTTGACATGTACCTGTTCAATATGTACCATAGGTGTGGTCTGACCGTTTACCCTCCCTCCATTAAACCTCCCCCCTCTTCTCCCCTCCCCATCCTCTTCCCTCCTTCATCCTGGGCTATAGTTGTTATTCATTTTTCATATGAAAGTGTGATTGATCATAAATTGGTTTCATAATAGTACTGAGTACATTGGATACGCAGTATCCCCCCATTCTTGAGATACTTTACTAAGTAGAATATGTACCAGCTCCATCCATGTACACATAAAAGAGGTAAAGTCTCCATCTTTTTTGAAGGCTGCATGTGTGTTTGAGCAACCTGACAGCAAGCATTTTTATCTGTGAGTTTCATTTCTATGCACCCAGTCCCCAGCAAAACACCTAGAGGCCTGGGGTAAACATTCCTTGAGTGAGTGAATGAATCTGCCTTTAAGTTTCAGCTTCGTCAGTGCTTAGTTTTCTCATCTGCCAGAGGTGTTTACCTACTTTACAGAACTACAGTTTTGAAGACCCAGTGCATGGAGGTGCAGGAACCACGTCTGTCTTACTCAGTTGTCTCTGCTGAACCCAGCACATGACCTGGCACAAACAAACGCTTGCTAAGTAAAGCAAAAACATCAGGAATATTATGAAGCTATCTGCAAACCTGGCTGCATCAAATCCCTTTGACTCAAAGGGATTTTCCAAATCTCATCGTTTATTTTTTATTCTTTGTTTGCCTTCTTATTCATTCTGTGGGTTTTTAATAATCAGAAGAAAAATTGTGGTAATAACAGTAGCAACTAATATTTATTGTGCATTATTATCTTCCAGGAATTATGGTTCACTTTGTTATAAGAATTGATTTAATTTGCTGGATATCCTGGTGAGGCAGGTTCTATTATCTGCTTTATAGGTAGATGAGGCACTTCGGGCTTACACGGCATGAATAATTTTCTCAAGGTCAGTAAGCAAGTGGTCGAGTGGGGCTTTGACTTAGAGGTCTGAGCTCTTATCTGACACATAAGCTGTCTCTAGCTGTGATCTACCGCCTCTTGCATATAAGCACTCACTCTGGAATTTATTGTTATTGCAGGTTTCTTCTCCCTTTTATCTGGTGAAGAAAAGGCAAAAGTTCAGTCTGGGAAGGTAGATGGCAGTTAACAACACTCCTTTTATAGCCCTGAAGTGCTAGTATTGTAAAATGCCCATCTGTGTGTGTGTGTGTGTGTGTGTGTGTGTGTGTGCGCGTGCATGTGTAGTTGTGGATGAGAAAGTAAAGGTGTAGATAAAACAAACAGCAACTTCTACTACAAAGAAATAAAAATTAAAAAGCAAACAAACAACAACTTCTGAACTCTAAGGAACTTTCATGTTAAGAACATATGATAAATATTCTAGAAAAGACTTGGCCAGGTGTGGTTAGAAAAAGATACAGGAAAATGGACACTGGTGGATGTGAGATTTGGGTTTGTTGTGCCTGAAAATCCCCCCAAGTGGCCCCAGCAGACAAATCTGAGACACACTCTGATGTAAAAAGCACAAGGTGAGCTTTATTCAGGCCTGGGAAGCCCGGGCCTGGACTCTCCTGGTGTACACACCGAGGAAGAGCCCCGAACCTGGGGTGTGTGAGGTTTTTATGGGGTACAGAAAGCAAGAGGGGAAGAAGGGTACCAGTACACTTTTGATTGGTGGTTGGTGATTTCATTAGTAAAGGAGGATTTGCATTGGTGGTTGATGATTTCACTAGTAAAGGAGAATTTGGATTGGTACAGGTGAGGAGTGGGGGGTCTCTTAACCAGGGGCTAGAGTTGGTGCAGCCTGATTAGGTGGCTGGAGGGAAATACCTGTATTTCAAGGTAATAGAAACTTATTGTTTATTATGGCAGCTGTTTGCCTAAGGTGACTCAGTTTATGGTTCACAATGGCTGTGGAACCAGGGGTGGGGGAGGCAGCAGGGAGTGGCCCTGCAGGTTTTACTGGCAGAGGTTAGGGTGAAGGGCTAGGAATGGAGCTTATGCAGTAAACAGCTAGGAATGGGGCTTGTGCAGTAAACAGTTAGGAATGGGGCTTGTGCAGTAAACAACAAAAAGGAGCTAGTCTGGCCCTCTCAGGTTCACACATCAGCTTGTGTTTGTGTCTTTGCAGAAATCACATGAAATCTACAGTTTTTCAAACATTAACTGCCACAGAAATATTCCCCTAACATGTTGGCTTCTGTGGTGGGCATTAGACGTAATTGGATAATTTGCTGACAAATCCTGAGTTCTCTCCACAACACAATTACGTCTGTGACTTTGTTTCAGAATATGGCTTCAGATTAATTAGTGCTTTTTTGGGGGGGGGCTGGGGTGGGGTTTGAACGCGCCACCTCCGGTATATGGGGCTGGCACCCTACTCCTTTGAGCCACAGGCACTGCACATTAATTAGTGCTTTTGAGCCTACTTCTGATCCATGAAATGATAGTTACTGAGCACTTCCTCTGGGCCAGGCTTTAAATGACTCATGTTTGTTCTCATAACAACTTGGGGCATTTAGAGAATGGGAAGGCATTTGGTAGGGTTTTGTTTTTTTTTTTTAAATAAACATTAACTAGTGCTATTGCCCAGGCTCCACGGCCTTGTGAGTAGTGAGAGGCAGAGGAAGTTATAGCTGCTCTGTGGGCCTCTTTATTTCAGAACTATCTGAAATAGTCTGTCATGGCCCAGATTAGTTTTACCAGACACTTCCAGAAGTGGAAAGTTCACTAATAATTTTTTAACTTAACTCTGAAGCTAATGCGACATTCACCGTATGCTGGATACTATGCTAGAAGCTTTACGTGAATCATTTATTTTAGTTCTCTTAACAACTTTAATGGAATGTAATTATTGATCTCCATTTAGCAAAACAAACTAACAAAAAAACCTCCCAAGACCCAGAGAGATTACATCATTTGCCCAAAAGAGGTAGCAAGAAAATAGCAGACAGGGGAGGTTCTGTCCTAAGATCTCTCTTACTCCGAAGTGCATACTCTTAACTGGCATCTGCCCTATCTCCTCTTCCTTCTCCTTCTCCCAGGGCCCAGTTCTTTTTATTTTACTTTATTTTTATGTTTTTGAAACAGAGTCTCACTTTGTCACCCTGGATAGAGTGCTGTGGTGTCATAGCTCATAGCAACCTCAAAGTTTTGGGCTCAAGTGATCCTCTTGGCTCAACTTCCTGAGTACCTGGGACTACAGGTACCCACCAGACACCTAGCTATTTTTAGAGATAGGGTCCTGCTCTTGCTCAGGCTGGTCTTGAACTCATGAGCTCAGGCAATCCACCTGCTCATCCTCCCAGAGTGCTAGAATTACAAGCATGAGACACCATGCCCAGCCTAATTCTTTTTTTTTTTTTTTTTTAATTATTGGCGATTCCTTGAGGGTACACAGAACCAGGTTACTTTGATTGCTTTTGTTAGATAAGGACCCTCTTATAATTGTGCCCTGCCCCCCAAAGGTGTACCACACCCCTGTCCAATTCTTAAAAAATTTTTTGTAAATGTTTTTATTATTTTTAAAAAATTTCAGTTGATTCAGGGAGTACAAGGTTGAATTCTGTTACATGTTCTGCCTGTATATGGTATAGAGGTGAAGTGTGGGCTTTTAGTGTGCCCATTGACCAAATACTGTACATTATACCCAATAGGTAATTTTCCACCCCTTACCCTTCCCACTCTCCTTTCTTCTGAGTTTCCAGCATCCACTATACCACTCTGTGTGCCATAGCTTAGCTCCTGCTTATAGGTGAGACAATGTAGCCTTTTATTTTTCTAAGTCTGAGTTATTTAGCATAATGGCCCCTAGTTTCATACATATTGGTGCAAAAGCCATAATTTCATTTTTTCTTATGGCTAGACAGTACTCCATGGTATGTAGATACCATTGCTCTCTTGGTAGGCACTTAGATTGATTCCAGACCTCTGTGTTTGTGAGTTGCGCTGTGATAAACACACAAGTGCAGGTACCTTTTTGATATAATGATGTCTTTTCCTTTGGGTAGATACCTAGCTGTGGGATTACAGGATTGAATGGTAGTTTTACTTCTAGTTCTTTGAAAAGGCTCCATGTCCTTTTCTATAGAGATTGTACTAATTCATATTCCCACCAACAGTATGATATACACAGTATAAACCTTCCTTTTTCACCACATCCATACCAGGCCCCAATTTGTGGCTGAAATTTGCTCCAGAGGTGTCTGGGTGTCAGTTGCATTCTTAGTCTCAATGTTTTATAGGCATGGGCTGTGGGTGCACTGTATGGACTGGCATAAATGGGACATTTGTGGAGCTCTCTTGGTTCTCTTATGTCAGTGAGGAGGATCTGAGGGAATTTATAGCTCTCTCATATGAAAGGAAGAAGGATTGGCTTGGATAAACTATTGCCTTCCAAAGCCCTTCCAGAATGGCTCTTGGGCCAAAATTTGCTCCAATGAATAGCTAATTAGTATGGTACCTCCCAAGAAGTCACCAACCTTCCCTTTAGGTCTTCTTTTTCAATATTAAGTGATCACCTAAAGAGTTCAAGATTCCAAACACTG